TGGAAAGTAAGAGGCTGGGATTTGGAGGAACAGGGTGTATTGGCGATTGGGACTTCTCTGGGACAGCTGTAAGATTTTTCAGATAAGCTCCCTTCATTTTCATGCCGTCTGACCCTCGTGGTTGTGGAGAAAATTTTTGAAATATAAAACTAGTGAGTGTTGATAAATTGATGCATTATCTTCCTGATTCTGCAAACAGCCTGAAACAAAACCTTTGGAAAGGATGAACTGTTTCTTTTCACTCTCTGGGGGCTTGTTAATCTTGAAACTCACGGGGGAAAATGGAAATGCTAGCTATTTCACAGCTAACCACTTTAGCAGAACTGCCTGGTTTATGCATATTAACTCCAAACTGTCTCCTCCCAAGACAGAGAGACCTGATACCTTCCCAGACACTGTAGCCTTTCCCAGCACCCACGGGCTGCAAAGCAGAAAGTCAGACGCCCAGAGTTGATGCCTCTCCAGCCTGACATCCACTGCCTGCGCTGGCCACGCTGGCAGATGAGGGGTGGCGAGTGGACTGTATTTCCTCATTTAATCCAATGAGAGCTTTGATGTAAAACCAGAAGCGAAGCTGTTACATAATTTCCAGCCTGCTGCAGTAGAGAGCTGTGGGAGACGACAAGTCCTGACTCAGAATTAGGCCCAGCTTTCTGTTTGTATGCAAAACCATAGAAACCGCAGTGTGCAAGCACCCATGTTGCTGGGGTGTTGAGTGAAGTCAAAATAGCAAGGTGATAATGGATAGCTGCAAAAGTAAGCAGCAGCAGTGACAAAGCAAGCCTGGATCCAAGCCAAAATTGGTTTTGTCCTCTCCCTTCAGAGCAGTCCGAAGTGGGACTGGTGAACCTTCTGTGGTCAGAGTCCCTCTTGCTGTAGGTTAGCCAGCTGTGCAAGGTGGCTGCAGTGGTAGGGGGAAACATGCATTCCTCCCTCTACTGTAGCACCGTAAAGCTTTTGCTTAAGTCCCTGCTGCATGTCTTTCTGGGACTCCAGCCTATCCAGCATCTCTCGTGATGCTTGCTCTCCTTTGAAAGGCTGCTTTGTAAAGCCATGCTAACAGCTGAAAATGCCGTGTGTCCCTCTCTCCTGCTTAGTCAAAGAGAAAAACCTGGTGCGTGTGACATTTCTTTCCTTGGTGCCAGGTTTCTACTTCTACCTGTTTTGCAGCAAGGCAAGGAAATAGTTGTGTAGGTTATTGGAGTGATGGTTATTGCTGGATAAAGGCAGCACTAGCTCTTCTCTGGCCAAATGCTGTCTCATGCCTGCTGCCAGGGGCTGCAGCAGCTCAGCCGCTGCACAAGGGGAGAGAATTCACACTCGTGTGATATGCAGAGCTCAGCCCTATGTTTGCAGTACTCTTTTGGGTCAAGCTGGTCTTTATTATTGTATTTCTTTCCTTGCTGGCTGGGAACCTCTGTTCATGCAGATCTGCTAATTACTTCTGCTTCGTCTGGGACTTTCTAGGACTGAGCTGTCATGGAGCAGCTCCAGAGACTCCATAGCAACTGCCCAGCTTTGTTATCACGGACGGGATCACCCC